AGGTATTCGCCAAGACTTTTAAAATATATAGTGTTTTTAAACACTTTTTTCTCAGGTTTCAAATATGAGAAAGAAAATTCAATTTTCGGTCGAACGTCACTCCTAAAAATTTTACTTCTTGCGCACTGGAATAATTGTACCTTCAAATATAACTCAGGTTCAGGATGGAGACCACACTTCCTACAAAAGTGCACGCACCAGTTTCTTTTTGAAAAGTAATCCCTTTTGTTTGACCATTCCTGGATCTTATTCAGAGCCCTCTGCAATTGCCTCTCTATGTATCTCATGTCTGCCTCTCGACAGCTAATCTTAAACATCTAGAGAGAGATCCCAAGAGTGGGAAGAATTCTTTTAATACGAGTTTATTTTTAGGCGACGCGTTACACTAAGCACACAGCCTTGAGCACCCCTCTTCCTGTTCGATAAAAAATTCGATAAAGCAGGCCAATCCTTACTTGAAAAGTTCTATTGTACAAGAAATTCGAATAAATTGGTAGGTTGCCACGCAGTCACTCTCGGAGATCGCGAAGTATACCTATCTCCATCCTTATCATAGCTTTCTCAATGTCAAAATTATTACACGTGACTTCTTTGACAAAAGCTTTTCGAATAATTCTCTAAAAGCGATTATCTACGGCGTTCTTCACTTTCGAAACCGCTTTGATAAGGCGATATAATTTATTCTTTCCAAGTAGACTAAGCTCTGCTTACCATCTTTTTCAAACAGTTTGCATAGCAACTCGTAAGGGCAATTAGCCGTATTTGGGGATTCCTTGGATCTTTCCCTGCTTAGCAATAGGAATGACAACAGCTCTCCTCCATGCCCTGGGAGGTACGCTCCTTCCACACTCTATGTAAGATTGAGAGGGCAGTACATCTAGACAGTTATAGGCATGCTTAGCATTCGTAATTCACGCCATCAACCTGGAGAAGACCTATGTGCGGCAACAAGCACTCCTTAATTAAAGCATTGTAAAGTCTAGTGTAAGGCTCATTTGGAAGAAATGGAATTGCTGCTTCAAGAGAGAATGCGGTAATAGTTCTGCTGGAAGAAACGGCAGCAAATGCCTCACCAATAGTTCAATTCTTCTATGGAGCTATCACTCGGCCATCTTTTCCAAAAAGGAAGTGAGTGGTCGTTATATATGCACATGCTTTCGACCTCTTTCCCAAACCCGCTTACTAGCGTGGAGGATGTTTTGACGACCATATGAAATCCAAAATTCTTTTGGCTCTGCCTCCTTACTTCGTGCATTTCTTTGGCTCTTTTAAATGCTATGGTTTCGCAGAGGGGATTACGAAAATACCCATGCCTTTTTCTGTTTTTTCAGTCTTTATGACAGTCGCGATTCCACCAGGTTTTGAATTTTAGTATTTTTCCTGATGTGCTAGGAATGGAAAGCATTAGTTGCCTGAATAATAGTATTAGGCAACTAATGCTTTCCATTCCTAGCACTTGAAAAGCGTCATCGATATGCACATCTTCTACTATTTCCTCTGTGAGTTCTTAACCGGAAGAGAAGTGTTCCCAGTCTGCCCTATCGAGTATGAATCGAGGACATCTCGACATGGGGTTTGCTCCTTTTTGTGCAAGAGATACTAAAATGGGATAGTGATCGCTGTTGTAATGATCATTTGTCACACTAAACGTGCAAATTGGCAACAGAGGTGAACAGATGGCAAGGTCGAGAGTGTGGAATGTCCTTGAAGCTCATGAAGTAAGTATCCCCCATTATTCAGGAGACAAGGCTATGATCTTCAATCAATCGCTCAATTTGTCTTCCTCGGCAAGTGTATCTTTACTACCCCAGCGGACTATGGCTTTTAAAATCACCTATTATGATGAAGGTGCAGCTGCTCTATAAGGCCATTTAAATCTGCCCATCAATAGCCATTTGGATCAAATACAAGAAATGACTGTAACAACAATATCAAAATTTGTTTGATTAGCAACAACTTGGAGGGTTCGTCAAAGAAAGCACATTTGAGGATAATCCAGTTGAGGAGACCTACACCTCCCTGCACCTCACCTGCAAGTTATCTTTCCTGACGAAAGAAAACTTCGAAATTTGCTTGTTGTTCTGGTTTCAGATTTGTTTCCTATATTGATAAGCACACGGGATGATAAGCATTCATTATAGCTTTGACGTCGAGCAAATTTCGGTGGAAACCGCGACAGATCCATGAGACGAGGGCGGCCATTATGATTGGTTTTTGTTCTTTCTGTGCTGATGCTTAGTTTTCTCATGGAAGTAGATGCCTGGGAACTTCTAGACCCTCCTCTACTTCCATACTGTCTAATCCGCAGATTCAGAATCATTTCATCAAAAGAGCTTGCTGGAACTTCTATTTTTATTTGATACTTTTTTAGTGGCAGTTTTTGGGTTACTTTGAATGACTGTTTTCTTTATTTTGTTTAAATTTCAATTTCCATTTTCTTGTTGGTGTGGTCTGGGTTTTTGGTACAGTCTGCGTGCCTATTTGATTTGGGTGGCAATGCTACGTTGTTTTAAACGGCACTGCATATGATTTGTTTTGTTGGAGCTGTGTGCTTTGAACTAGTTTTTCTGGCTTCAGCATACGGATGTTCCTGGTAACTTTTGCATTCTACCTTCTTTTCGATTTCCATTTTGTGCAAAGGCGTGAAAATGCTGGGTGCTGACCCTTGCAATTTATACACGAAGGTGCGCGGTACAATTTTCAGAATCGTTGCCAATCTGTGAGCATCGGGCGCATGTGAGGCTGCCACGACAAGACATCTTAGAATGGCAAACACGACATCTTAGAATAGCCAACGCATAGGGTTGGAATATAAGGTCTCACAACAATTAAGTATCCGCCTTAATATTCTTAGGCAGAACAGGCGTTTAAGGATTGTTGTTAAGGATCACCTTCAACCTTCCTTTCGCATCTTGATCCGCCTAGCACCACAACATTTTGGTCAGCTAATTGAGAGACGAAATTCTTCTGAAACACACAGAAGGTCGATCTCCGAGATCACCTCTACAGAATTAAGTGTTTTGGTGTGCTGACACAGTTATAGATATTTGTCCAAATTTGGTTTGTCGGAAAGAGAAGCAACTGGGGTGCTGGTATCAATAAGCAGTCTCCTGACGGAGACGCTTTAATGTTTCCTTGGCTCACCTATGCATGAATGTAGTATTTGCTTAGAAAAGGAGACATCTTTTGCAGTTCACCAGAAGGACTAGAGACAACAAGGAGCAAGGATTTTCAGTATTTCGTTGCATTTTGCATTGGTACGGATCTTCTTGCTAATCGTTTCGACAATTTCAATATCTTTGGCATTTGCTTCAGTACAGATCTTCTTGTTAAGAGATTTGACAATTTCGATATCTGGTTGGTTTCATTCGATTCGGTTTTTTTAAGAATAATGAAGCCATATTGAAAGAGAAAATTCGGGTCCAACAGCCCCGCCCACCACGAACCCAAAAAGGGAACCTGATTCCTGCGTTAAGGCTAGCCGGACCTATACGCAAACTGAAGCCCCACAGTCGGCTTTCCCGAAGCAGGTACTCCCGAGAGCTGACCCCAACCACTGACCCAAGACTAGTGACCAGCCGATTGACCCCGTGAGGACGACTAAGGTGCCCCAAAGTAGTGAGATAGTGTGAGGGCCAAAGTAGTGTGTTGGGGACAGTACCTCCCCCCTCAACTACCAGGACCCTCCTTTCCAGCGACACGGGTCTCACTCACAGCAACACGTGGCAGTTTTCTTGCCACTCGAAAACTAGAGACAAGGTCTGTTCCGTCTCTCGTGACAAGCCCCAAACTCCTAGAGAGAACCAAAGGAGAAATTTAAGGAAAAGTACCAGTCAGAGGCAGATCACTGGGGCCCAGGATCGTGACACCGTCTCATCAAGAAGATGATCCCCTGAAGGGCTAGGGTACCTCGGGATTGCCACACCCGTACTCACAAAAGTGAGCCCCCTGAGGGGCATAAACAATGAACTCTATATTCAAATTACAAAAGGCTGGATGGTAACAGATCTATTTGTCACGTCCTTTGTCTACATGTTTATTTGTTAAACATGCATTCCTATCCCACCATTTCTAAATGGGAAAATAAAGTCTACTATCACTAAACAGATTTGCTGGGCAATAGCATTTGAACAACCTCGATAGACAAAACATTGTTTTATACTAATTTAAGAGTTCAAGATTTCTACAGAATATATTCTGCAAGATAATAAACTTTAGCCATTCGGAAGAATTATATCAATATAAGAAGAATCCAAGCTCTCCTTTGATTTTCCACATATCTTCATCCTGCCAGATCTTACTTATGCAATTGAAAACAAGGTTGCATCAGATAACATATTTTCAAATAATTTTTATACCTCCTGAGCAAACAAAGAAGCACTTTATCTTGTTTGCAACAGAAATAATGTATAAACAAGGCTTCTGTAAATAGAATACTGTTCGTTAAGAGATCATCTACATACATCCTGAACATTTATATATCTTGATATCTTACTGCTCGTCTATTGATCAGAACAAGTCTGACCAATCTATTTTGCTCAAAAATCCAATAGACCAATCAGATAAAGAGAACAATTAGTAAGCTGCTCATACTTTAAAAAATTCTTTCCCATTCAGAGTCCATTGGGCTATGCATTTTATTCATCATTTTAAAAGTAATACATTTTATTAGTCTCAGCATATGCTTAATACTTCCTTGTTAAAGCAACTACTGTGCTTAGTCAACAAATCTGGCAAATTTAATCATTCAATCTCTAACATGCAAATCTCAAGTGATGTCAAATGTTAATGCAATAGCCACAGCAGCCTTTGGCTATTTAGCAAGCAAGTGCCATTTATCTTCCCATTCTTACAAACATTCAAATATACATCAATGGTTTTACTTTGCATAAAACCACATGAACATTACTTTCAAGCTCAGTGACCATCAAAAGTACTAATTAGCATTCCAAACGAACATTTTTTAATGTAAAAATAATAATTAGATACTTTTACTTTACCAAGTTTAACTCCACAAGCTTTAACATGTTCTTTCCCATCTTGTATATCATTTTTTAGAACCAAATCTTCAACAGATCCACTAACGATATCTAAATTAGAAATCTCGAAAAGTTCCTTCTGCAAGTGTTTCTTATATAGTGATCTATCAATTTGAGCCCTTGGTCCCTAGAAAAATTCCCCCAAAAATATCCTTTTATAAAACAAAATATTATAAATTATAAATGATAAAAATCCTTTACAATACATACTATGATAAAAAATATACTTTAAATATCATATGTGCAATAAAGGAATGGAAGTCTATAATAATTTGTCAGTAAAATATTTAAATAAAAGAACACTTTACTGAGTTAAAAGAATTTGCACTTTTATTACTCTTTTAAAGCCAGGAAATCAGAATATGTATGTGACCTAAAATGATCAGAAAATTTTTTACCTACGTAATATTTACATATTATCTATTCAGAAAAGCTTAGATAAATGAAAGAGTGCTAATAACAGGTTTCAAAAAACTATTCATAATGCGAGAAAGTGCTAAATGAATTTTTAAAAAATAAAGATTAACTTTTGATTTATTTGTAGCAAGCTACTTTTAACAAACAATTTTTTTTACACATTTTAGTACTTTCTTGGTTATAGTATTCCTCAGAAAGCATTTGTTGCTAATCTGTGAAAAGTCATTAAATACTGTTGCTTGCCAACACAAAAGAAGCAAAACATTATTATAAATATTTACAATATGTCCAATATTTGTATTGTTTTCCTTTCTGACAGATAAGTGTGCAGATCAACTAGGAAAATAAATATTTTAATAGATATATTAACAATATAAAATAATTAAATTTTGCCTTAATTAATACATCTTGAATGATGAAATGTAAAAATTTTTAAAAGTTATACACATGCACCATAGCATTTTACCATTAACATCTGCTATGTAGATAAAATTATTTTAATTTCCATCGATATCATTTCTAATGTAATATTTTTGAATGATTGCACAGTCATTACTGATGCATTTTTCAAATAGATAGAGAGCTGTCATTCACTTTCAACTCATCTTACTTTTTTGGTCTCATGGCTAAGTTAGATGAGCAATTATTCCAGTTTTTGTGCATTTATAGCTGGACTTTTGCAGCAATTTCAAATTCAGTTGAGTTTTTAGAGTTGGCAGAATTTTTATAGCAAATTTTATCTCTAAACTTATAGATGGACTGGCTTATGTTAGGTAATATATGATACTGCCTTTTAGCTTAATTAAAGATCAGAAGTCAGTCAGGTATTACACTGTGAGGAAAATCCCGTTGACCACAAGCGATTGCGCCAATTGCACCAAACCAAAAACCTACTTACTAAATACAAACAAACAAACAAACAAAAAGTTCTATTCTTATTTTTCTTTTAAAGTTCTTATATTATCATTTACTTATATTTCATTTTTCATTAAAAATTTCCATTATTTTTTATTTATTAATGCTTCTTAGTTTTTAAATAAAGTGCCACTTCATGGCCATTAAACACATTTTTTTGAGGCCAGTAAGATTCCATAACTTTGGAAATATTCAACAGCATGCTTTCTCTTTGACAATACTGGAGATTCCAGGAAAAGGCCTTTCTTTACCAAGATAAACTAGTTGGAAATCAAGGTCTATAAAATATTCGAGAGATTTTTTCATTTGTGAAAAAATTACATGATTAGTCGTCATAGCACATCTCTGCTTGCTAGACCCCCAAGAACCCTTACAAGCCGGGCGTCCCATCCATGCATCACTAGAGATTGCATTCACGGATGGGTGATGCGTATATGCATTTTAAGCTGGAACGTTTTTCTGAAGGCCCCTAGATGGCATCCTATGTTCATTACTTTTCAAATGAACACAGTTTTAGGTTCCTGACCTTGAGTTTGATATATTTTGCTCGACTTTGGTATTTTACTCATCAGCTGTTGCGAGGGTGGGGAGGAGAAGGAAAGTGTAAACAGAGGTGGGCTCTTTAAATCGCTATGTGCTAATGAAAACATTCATGTGTCTGATTTATATCCAGTTCCTTTTTTTATTCTATTTTTTCCCTCTACTATGTACGATCTTTTAGGGTTACTGTGTGGAGTTCTTTTACATTTTGTATTGCCTTCAGATATATTTCTGTTTCTTCTCCTTTTATTTAGGAAAGCCTCACCTCCAGACTATTATGGCGGGAAGACACTATTTATCAGAGGAAGAATACCTTCATATTATTAGTGAACCATTTACTAACACAAATGAGAGTGATGATTCATTTTCTAAAGAGTTAGTGACACTTCTCTGTGCTTCAAGATTTACCACAGTCTTCATTTTAAATTTTGTTACTTCTTATGTAAATAGTCTTTATTGTGTTGTTTTATTAATTTTAAACTTTATTTATGGATTTTATCAATTAAAACATTAAAATAATTTGAATAGCGCTTTCGAAAATTATTTTACAAGATAAGCAATCTTTTAAGTATATTTTGATGTAAAGAAAAAACTTTATAAAGTGCTAATTTTAACATATATAAGAGCTCAAGTAATAATCTCCTAATGGTAATTTTAACGGTGATTACACTTTAAACAAAAGTACAACGCAAAAGGTTAATAGCAAAAGGTTCGTGATTACCCAGACACATATGAAATAATCCGGTTACAATTAAACCTGGTCATGAATGGTGGATCGAAAATGTCAATGTAATTTTGCCCTATTCCCTATTTCCTATAAACAAATAACAAAGTCCTATAATTTGAGGGGCTGTGTAGACCTAAATCATATAAAACTAAAGGAATTATAAAATAATTAAGGAATAAATATCTATTTTTAAACTGCAAACAGGTGATGGACATCGTTCGCACTTTGAAAATTCTAAATAAAAAGTTCAAGCACATTGGTAAAAATAATAATTTTAAGGAACAATGGAAATAGATTGCCGCCACGTATGGTACGTAAGTTGCTTCAACGGGGCGAGTAGCTTTGAGGTCCAGATTATGGGTGTCCGAATTAACGACTTTTGACTGTATAAGGTCTACTGGAATTTCTGTTTGATAATGTTATTTCAAGTTTTAACACAGATGCACACATTCATTTGAGACATATATGCTTGATTTGTTTCATCACTGCATTTATATACATGTTTTCTTCTAAATTAACTAAAACAAAAGTGTCTCATATCATTATTGAGACATAGCTACCAATAAAACTCATTTGCGATTAATTTGAATGAATTTCAACAAAGAATAAATGCTACAAAAGTCTGTCGAAATTTAATAATAGTTTTCAGTAGAGATGAAGTTTTGGAGAGAACATGCAGGAAATAATTTGAAAAATTTGAAGCATATATCATTTTAACCTTAACGATAAGCTACCCCCTAGGTGGTATCTTTGATCGATAGCAATATTGTTAAGACCATGATACAGCAACACCCTTTCTTGACAATACTGGAGATTCCAGGAAACTCGGACTTAGCTTTACAAACCATTTCAGACCATATTTGGAAACTAAGATTGGTCTATAAATATTCGAGATGATTGCATCATGAGTTAAGTGAAAAAAATTTACATGATTGAGTCGTCATATGCACATCTCTGCTTGCTCAGAACACCAATGAACCCTTCTTGAATTGGATGATAACTGGTGATGATGGATTAATTAAGAAAACATTTTTAGAAAACAAGCATACTGAGAACCTAGACAATCTGCTCACACCACCTTTAAACTGAACTTGAGCTTGAATAAAAGCTTGTATATGGTGGGATGCCCAAGAACCAATACATTATGAGATTTTTGAAACCTATTTGAAAAGCTCAATTCGAAGACAGCACAGCTCATTCTAATTGCAGAGTTAGGCTGAGATTTTTTGCCACATCCACCATACTCCCCAGACCTCTATGCCTTGTTTCACTCCTTGTAAAATACCTATTTTAACAGAAAAAAATTCAAAATTGAAGCAGATGTCAGCCAAGCACTATTTGAGTACTTTGTTTCTAATGGTATTTTCAAATTACCATTGTGCTAGCAAAAGTTCATAAGACAGAAATTATATAGTACAATAAACATTATTAAAGGTGCGAAAAATGTATTATTTTCTTCCATTTCCTAAATAGACAAAATTTGCTGGTAGACCTTATATAAAATAAAGGTTAAAAATAATTAAATAAATATGCTATTTTTAAACTGCACAGTTTGTTGCACTGAAAAAAAAAAAAGTTGCACAGGTAATAATTTGGAAGATTGCCGCCCAGATGGTATAGTGGTTAGGGGAGTCGACTACGATACCGAAGGGCCTAGGTTCAAATTCTGGAGAAGGCATGGTTGTAACTGTGAGTCCCTTCACAGAAGATAATGGTATATTAGGTGCCTTCACAATAAAATGGCCACCACTTCCAGCCTTAAGAGTGGCCAATGTCGAAAAAAGACAAAATAGTGCCTGCTGCTCGAAAAAAATAATTATAATTTGGAAGATTAATCAAAGACCTTATACATCTTATACTCAATAAACAGCTCAGAAATTTCAATTCATGAAGCCATTCAGATAAGAAAAATGGAAAGATTATACATAGAAGTTTCTAACACAAATTTGCTTTTGCCATTTATACTCTCCTCAATATAAAGCGTAACTTTGGAAAAGCATCTTAAAAAATGCTAAAATATTTTTAAAATGTTAATGCCAAGGGTGAGAAATTAGCCCATTTTTATATTAATTTTCTACTGGTATTACTAAAATTAATTTGTGCAACACTGAAAGATAATTTAAAACAGAATATACTATTGTTCGGAGGATATTTCTTTGCAATGTTTAACCTAAAATCAAAAACTAAAATGTGCTAAAAGACAATCTAAATTATAACATTACATAGTTAAAAAATAGTTTTGTTTACTGAAAATAAACTACGTGAAACACACTTATTAAATACAATTAACACTTAAAAACACTAACCCAAACAGCAGGTCCTTTTGCTTTATTAAGCATTCTGTAATGGATTCCAGATATATCTGTTCAAAATAAATACATACATAAATAAGTTTAAAAAAAAAAGAAGATTGACATTTTATTTTAAAATTGATTGAATACACATTCTATAAAAAGCTACTTAAATATACAAAATATTACAGAAAAAATTAACAATGATTAAAAATAACCATTTCCCATAGTTAAATTCAAACCATATAAATATTAACAGGAAAGTTTACCACAAATACGGCAACAGAGGCCATCAAGAGCATCAACTTCTTTCATCAAATGTCCTTTACCAATGCCACCAAAAGATGGGTTACAAGACATCTCACCTAAAATATGATATATTCACACATCTAAGCATATCTGTTCAATATTAACTGGATTTAGATATAAATCCTAACGCAAACCATTAAAAAAAAAAAAAAAATCTGAAATTTTTCAGATTTTAAATTACGTCCAAAGGGGCGTTTTTTTAACGTTTTGTTTACCTTTATTTATTAATATCATGTTCTTTGCACTTAAACCAAAAATTCAGTTCAAGAGCAATATCGCAAATAATGTTAAATTAAGCATATCTTTAGTTTCCGATATACACGTCTCGCGAGCTGGAGATAAAAGTATTTTTTTTCTATATATTTGCCATTTCTCTCTTTTAAAGCGTGAGTTTGTAACTCAAAATTTGTTAAGTTTACAAAATAAAATTATAAAATATAAAACAAATCAATTTGGGATTTCAGATGCCCATATTCGCAGTAGGATTTCATTCAAAATTCGATGGCTCTATGTACCTTTTTTTATCACAATGCAGAAATAGACATCATTTGCAGATTTTTCATTATTTAATTCTTCAAATATAATGCAGACTCTAACTTTGTGGCAACAGTTTGAAAGTGAACCGACGTTTATGAGTCCGACACAAAATGCCAAAACGAAGCATAGTTCTTCGGGACTGAAATCCCTTTGTACTCTAAAAAAAAAAAAAAAAAAAAAAAAACGAAAATGTTTTTAGTATTTTCATAGGAACAAGGACTCATAGGGATATAAAAAACACAACAATGCAGGAAAGTAAATTAATTTTATGAAACTCAAATCTTACATTTAAAGGAAATTTGGTACTTACGTACTATGATAACTACCTTGCCAACATTTGCCGATAAAAATGCTCATTGGTGTTTTTGGTCAATGTTTATAAATTAAAAAAATCAAAGCCCTAATTATAAAAGAACAAAAACTTAAAAACCAAAAATCCTGAATATATATACATATTATAAATAAACATATACATATAAACTATATACTAAACATGAATTAAAAAAATTAAAATGAACTTATTTAAAATTGGTTAAAAGAAAACACTGAAGTTAATGGTGAGGAAAGTGGTGGGAAATAGCTTTCAAAATAGCATCAAAAGGCGTTTTCTGCTTTTTCCACCAAATAAATTCAGTTAAATAGGTATCCAAATGATGGTGGCCCATCCCCCGTCGCTTGCTCCTCCATTTTGTGGAACCCCATATCCTTTCAACGTGTATGAATCTGCGCAGATGTGTGAACAAACATGTATCGATGATTCACCTTAAAATGTTCAAAACCGGCAGAAATGAGCTCCTCTGTTTGATCTAGGCCACGAATCTGACATTATTGTTGAGCCTTCAGCAATATTATTTTGGATTTTATGCATTAACGTTGTTGCCTTCTGGTCTGGAACTCTGACTAGAAATGTTTCTTTTGCCTCCCAGCAAATTTCACCGAAGACCCACTGCTGTGCAAGATACGATCTTGATTATTCTTTCAACGCGTAAAAAGGCTTTCCTTAATTTTGGCAATTATTCCAGGCTCTCCAATTTTAATATTTCGATTATCCTCCAAATCCTTCACATACACTTCATGTAATTTTTCCAATCAATAACAGTCTTATTGGATAAATCTAACTGATGTTTGCACCATTTAATGGATGACTGTTCATATGCTCAAAAGTAAATAAATCTTAAAGCTTTTAAAAATTCAATACGACTGTTTTCAAACCACGTACCAGTTCGGACATCAAACATTTGTTGACAATTTTTGACATTGCATCTCCAATAAAATCCTGAATTATAAAACTTCATATCATAGAAATTTTTACAAACACGTTCTTTGGGTGAAATTCCGGCCTCTCTGAAAAATTCTATAGTTTCTTCTTCAATTGAAGGAAGTCGGAAAATCCATTGGGAAAATAGTCACAAAAAGTTTCATGTTCATTCCTAAATGTAATAATCCACGTAAATGTAGCAAAAAATGGTGTGGTAATAGTAAGAGTGAGATAATACTCTATATTTTAGCGCCCTGTATAACTTATGTTAGGGTTAACCTGCATAACCTACAAGGGTCGGCAGTTTCGTGAGATATCTAGGTGGTCGTCGTAGTACGTTAAGTACCAGAGATTCCTACACAAGCAAATTAAAAATTCCTCTGTCTGTAACAAAAATTTTCTACCAAAAAACATTTTTAATAAAATTAGGGGGAAACAACATGAAAGCTTTAGTGTGAATCACCACCCAAATCTATGATTTTTTTGCCAGTGTTCTGGTAGTTTTTCAAATCCTTCGGACCAGAAACTTGGTGGCCACAAGTCCAAAAACAACCTCATTTCGGATATCTTATGCAGAATGAAAGACAGCACCAGCAAGATGTAGTTGCAGGTATGAAAAAAGGTAGAAGTTCAAAGGAGTGATGTCCGAGCTATATGGTGGGTGTTCCAAAAGATACTACTCGAGTCCACACAGAGTGAATGCAGACACATGTGATCTCGCATTATCTTGATGGAAGATTACTTTTTTCACCTAAACTCAGCTTAACATTTTTTCTTGATAGCAATGTCAGCAAAGACTATCATCTCACTACACACATTACTGTTGAGGATTTTACTTTTTCCTAGATACTCTTTGTGGATTATACTACAGCAATCCCATCAAATACAAAGCATGATCTTTTTGTTAGTCAAACTGCACTCTGTGACGCTGCCGACGGGCTCACCAGGTGCAGACCAACTCCCTTTCCAGCCTGTGTTGCTGAAGTAAATGCACTTTTCATCACAAGCCATGATTTGGTCCAGAATTTTCACAAGTGATGATTCGGTCCAGAATCGAGCAGATTAGAGCAGGCCCGAATACGTCTGTCCTTATCTGCTTGAATCAGCTCATATGGTACCCAATGACTGAACTTGTATGTCCCATTTATGCAATTTATAGCAAGGCTAATGAACATGGCACTAACATCTAACTCCTCAGCAAGCTCTTGAGTGGTTGCATACTAATCTTCTTCCGCAAGTTCTTGCAGGCAGACCTCATTAACATCAGTAGGCCAACCAGAGTGTTCTGCTTGTCAATTCTGCTGTGTTGAATGACAGTCCTTGTTTTTGAACTTTTGGTACCAAACCTTCCCAATGTCATATGATACAACATTAGTACCTAAAGCTATACACATAATTTAGAGACATTCCGCACCTGGCTTTTTGCAACAGAACTGGAAGTAAATGATGATTCTAATCTGGAAGTGTGATAGTTCTATCTCAGACACTCTGTACTTAATGACAACGATATTTTTTTACAAATTTTACAATACAATGCTCTAAAGCAAGTCTCTTTCTTTTAAATGCCAAAAACCATTTGATAAAATATGATTAAACTAGCCAGCACAAACTGTTTGTGCAGATGATATTTATGGTGGTGAAAAACTTTCATTAAAACTCACTATTATACTTTAAAAGGGTAATTGTATATTACAGTTAGGTGCAAAATGATTTTATCATGCTTATGAAACATGTAAACAGAATAAATCAACAAAGAAAGTTTAATATCACTAAGCTAACAAAGGTTTTATGTGAAACAATTGTCTTATTCATGATTTATAAAAAAATTAGGTACTCTTCTGTTATCAGGACTGGATTCAGAAATGTATGCATGTATGTATGGATGTATGGATGCATGTGTTCATGTATGCATGTATATGTATGTATCAATGTATGTGTGTGCATGCACATAAACATTTCTGAATCTGGTCCTGATAACATAACAGGACCTAAATTTAATATTAAAAAATTTATATAGTAATTAAAAGTAACTTTTGGTTATTTTCCAATATCATTCACTATGAACATATATATTATATTTAGCGTTTCTGCATCGTATGATACATGAAACGCTAAAATATAATATATATATCGATATAATATATATACGATGTATATATATATACATCGTATGATACATCATGTATCATACGATGCATGAAACGCACAAGCATCATGTGAGTATACAGCTGGTTTGAAATGAGATTATAATTTGGCACAGTCACGAACATAATCACACATAGAACTTCTTGTATATTTTTTTCTTGAAAATTCACAAGGAACAAGCTATCAGAACAATAAAATAAAGAAATTATGACTCACAAAGAAAATGCTATGTGAGGAGAAAATGAATTATAAATTGTTTTAATATGATACTTGTAGTGATTCCATTTTGCAACTCAACAGCTTGAAAGGATATTTTCATGGAGGACTTTATAAAAGAATTTACTTATATTAATGTTATGCATAAAGAAAACCATAAAATTTCATACAGCCATGCTGCTTAGTCACAAGGAATATGATCACGAATGAACTGCTAGTATTCAGTCTTTTTAATGACTTGCCCAATGACTGATCCAAAGAGGACAGAAAATAGTACTTTTAATTCATACCTAATATTAAAAAGCAAAATGCTATAGCCATATATAGTGAAAAATATATCTCATCAAGAAAATTATGCCACACTCATTAAAGCAGATATGGTGTATTTATTTATCTGAATGTAGCAGAGCATATGAGGGCTATCTGCCTGTAATGTATTACTATACTTTTCAATCTACAAAACTAATTTATAAATTTTTTATCTCACCTCCAGAAAGCAGATAATAAATTTAGTTTTTATCTAATGCAAGTATAATGCATAAACATGAAAATTTACTTTCTGAATAGAAATTCTTTTTCTGGCTAACTGATGAAGTCAAAGAGGATTAGTTTACCAGGATTATAGCAAAGCCCATGAATGATAATTGCCTAAGAGGAGAATGCCTTTTGCAGAAGACTTTTTTAATGAACACTCGCTCATATTGATGCTACAAATAGGGAAAACCATGAAAACAAACATGCAACTAGCTCATTCACTGGGATTTGAATCTGTTGCTTTAAAATAGGCAATTTTAGGTCATAGGCAGCCTCCCCTACGATTTCGACATCAGACATATGTCATCATCACAGCACAAGAGAGATTAAAGAATTCACATTTATTTCTGCAGTAGCCATTACCATGGTTACATTTCATGCTTTATTTTTTTGGGGGGAGGGGAAGAAAAGACTATTCTATAGTTTCAGAAAATTTACTCTTTGGCTAAAATGAGGATAATGAATTCTAAAAGATACTGAATTCATTTACCATCACTCATTAAATCCTCATATTTTATAGTGTTACACTTTTTAAATAAACTATGATAAATGTAATACCTATTGTACTTGTTTTATGAGTAAGAAGCAAAGTTTTACATCCCATCCTTGAAGAAGCTGCAGCTGCTTCTGTTCCAGCATGTCCACCACCTACAACTATGACATCAAAAAATTTACAGCTTACGTATCGATAAAAGGCATGATGAAGTCTTCCATATCGAGAATAAAACAGCTTCAAGCTATTCTTCATAACTGTGTGAGAAGATAGAAATAAATATATAAAAAATTATTACGACACAGAATTTAATCGGTAGTTAGCTTTTCTGACTAAAGCATACACAAATGCATATTCAGCATAAAGAACAATATATTATCATTACCTCAAAATATCAATGCTAAAAAATGTCCAGTTTTAGGATTTGGTACCATTTAATAGAAAATAATCACAGCTAGCCCCATTTAAAATGTCTTACACACCCCAAAACAGTAAGCTTTTGCTAGTATCTATAATATGAATAAAAATTTTGGTACTTTTTTGTTACAGCGGCACCCAAGATTGAATTGAAAATCAACCGAGATATCTCACCAAGATATGCCTGCGTGTTCTTATACCTCACCATGTGATCGTATATTAGCTACCTCACCACATAATCATATATTAGCACCATGTTGCATGTTTGCTCTTGCCACAGCTCCATACATTATTCATTTTTGATGAGGTTTCCAAATTCACATTATTTATTAAAAAATATATTCATTACTTTATTTTTTGTGAATATGACATTAACAATCTTTACTTTTTCAAGTAATGAGGTGGATGCCATATAATTTTTTTCAAGAAAGGTCTTTTACCTGACAAATGAGTATGCAAAAATGAACACAACATGAGGTGGCCTGACACACAAGTATGTGAAAATGGGCACAACATGAAGTGGCTTGACAAACGAGTATGTGAAACTAGCCACATTTCATGTTAACAACAAAATGATTTGGACATGCAATGTTTAAAAATTGCAAAAAGAAGAAAGGCCTCCATGTTGGAAATTGGTTCAGCAGTTCCAGAATATTGTTTATCATTGCTATTAGATTTATATATTCTTGGGCAGAAGTGTTGACGTTCATGAAATGATGTAAAAAACAGTTTAATATGTATGAAATTGTTGCGGTTGAGTGAAACAATTACATGTAATAAAATAATAAGAATAAGGATTCTTTAAAAATATTCCTAGAAAACAACATGTGAGTATTATTATTATAAGTTATATATTGTGTTGTTTATTTTTACGAGTTTTGGTGAAATTATAGTCGCGATCTTGGCACAACATCTAAAATCGCCAATATGCTTGGGGGCTACAATAACAAAGAAGTACCAAATTTTTATACTAAATACTTTGTTTTTCTGCATTTCCTGAATGTTGTTTTTTCTTATATAAGTCATTGCAGCAACAATGGTAGTAGGGTAACTTAATATATGTTATGCATCAAATACCTAACAAAATGAAATGCTTTTCGATTATATACTTTAAATACTCTCTATGCCTTGTTATATTTTCTTAGAAAAAAGCTTACAGACTGAAATAAAATTTTATAGACAACCTTTCATTAGAAAATAAAATATATATATATATATTATACTATATAGTTTGAAAATAGAAAGAAGCAAGTATGACAAGAAATTTTATACATTAAGGTTCAGGTTAATCAATGGCCTGGGTCTCCATCCTGTTGTAACACAAAATTTTATAGTTGCACAACTAACCATATTTCCAGCATTTCAAGATAACTATTACCTGTTGCCATCTTTTCAGAAAAAAAAAAAAAAAAAAACATACAATTTTGTTTGCGACATAGCACAAAAATGATTGATTTTTGAAGAATCTCTTTCCAACTGCACAATTTCACTTCCTCACTCTCTAACATTATGGCAATTGACATTTCCTGATAAATAGAAGGTTGCTTCATCTGAAAAAATTGGTTTATTTGCAAAATCTTCATTTTCGCATTTCTTTCGCATGCAAGCACAACAGTCAAATCTATGCACTTTGTCATCTACTGTTAAATGTTGCGCCAATTTAGGTGATGAGTCTTATACCGTTTTCTAGGGAATTCACGGGCACCAGCTGCCATAGATTTAAGTGGATAACTCTATCTTGCCCTCTTCGGCGTTTCTTCCAAGATGCGTGGACGGCCAAATAACCCATATGACTACAGAATGTTCTTCCTTTCTGTAGCTATTTCAAAATGCACGCTGCATTGAAAAATCTGGGGGGGGGAAGGGAGAAAAATCCTGCATATTCTATAATGCAAAAAATTGTTTTGGATTTTCAATCAGTGTTCTGTGGATGTGCTACCACATTTACTGATCAGTAGTAGGGGAAAAAACTTGGTAAACTTTAATTTCACGTGTCACTTATTGTAATGAGTGTAGTTTCAAAAATATAAATATTTAAATTCTGATCATTCTTTATATCACTTGCATTTTAAAAATTATAGCACATAAGCTCTGAAACATGTACTATGGGGATGCAGCTGGACTGAAATAGGATGTTTACTTTAAAATGTTACAAAATCATGCTAAAAATTAATTCTGTCTTGCATATTCAAAATTAATAGTTTATTTTTTCTTGTATATTCTTGATTCAGAATTTACTCTCTCTTTCATTTTTTTTTTTTTTTTTTTTTGATAATAAGAACTCAAAACCTGTTTTGAACTTTAGCTAAACTGCAATGTGTTTAACAATAACAAATTCCATATGCTTAAAACTATGTTAACATATTGAATCTTCATAGGTCTGGCCTGTCTGCTTATTTAGCTAGAACTTATACAGACTTCTTAAGCTTCATTTGACAATGCAGGCATATCAACAGTACACAAACTGAAGTAGTGCATAGAAATTTATCTGTAACAATTTGCAGTTGATTTTGTGTTATGTGTATGAATAACGGACAGATAATTTTAAAGTTATTATCAACACTTAAAAAAACAACCAACAACTTTTTATAAGTTTTATTTCGACAATTGAAAACTGAATAAAAAATAAGATTGTTTTAAAAATTGCCTTTCTTATACCTAGCATTAATAAAGAAAAAATTATTTAAATAATAAATAAAAGGAAGCACTTCCGCAGGAACCCGGTAAGTAACATCGCACTTTGGATAATATTCAACCTGGTAAACCTAGCTATTATCCTTCGCTATGCGACGTGTCGTTGTTCGCATTTGGAGATTATATTATTTTCTCTATTATTATATTTTTTTCTGAATTTTTAACACTAATAGATAAAATATTTCGCGTATTAAGAAGTTTCATGGAAAGATGCCGTTCTCGGATCAAAGGAGAAATTATGGCGGGAGGGGTGAATGCTATTGTAACATGGCTGTTCACGTAGTTCTTACTATTACCCTGTAAGCACGCAGATCCAAGGTTTCCAACCCCTATAATAATTTTTAAATGCATAAAGTTCTAGTTTTATTAACAATGCTACTGAAGAAAATTTGATTCATAATATATATATCATCATTTCATAATATATTTCACAATAGTGAAATATATTATGAAAAAGGATAGATATTTGTTTCAAAGTAAAATGCTTTAAGCTATATGCAAGTAACTTAAAAAAAATTACTGAAAACTATGTAAAATGGATGTATTAAAGATCATGCATTCATTAATTTATTACATGGGCATGGCTCTTACTGAAATATATCAATCAACAGGCAAAGTACTTAATAATGAAAAAAGACACTTCTAATAGAAATATTAGTATTCTAGGTATATGAATTAGAGAAAATACATATAGTATATTGTAAAGTAATATAAGAAATAATTGTTATTTTTTAAATGATTTACTTCCCGTTATTTTAATACTTGTTTCGTGCTAACTTGAATTAATAGAAATTTTTTTGTATATCACGTTTACCTGTAGTTTATATCTACAATACTTTTATCTGTGAATTTTTACTACCATTGTCTGCTAACTTGAAAGCTTGGCGAGTAAAACTGCAACGGCGCCAAAGGGTTCTTTCCCGAAACGCCAACGGATTCTCTGCGGATGAAAACCCAAATAAAAAATTAACTAACTTTATTCATATGGACTATAACTGTACTTTTAATTCTTAAGTATTGTCCCCCTACCATGCAACAGCCACCAAACAGCTCAATTTTGCGTCAATCAAAGTTGAGCATGGCTTTATAACACTATCATAGCATCTACCTTTTCATTTGATTTTACCCCAACTGATACATACTGTACACGTACGTATGTGCACTTCTGAGTCCGGTTCCGATAACAGAAAACTTTATAATATGTATATGGCTAAAATATTTTTAAAATGCATAAAATTTCATTTTTAATTATCATGCGGGAAAACTCTGATATACATATAGTTAATTACATAATTACTATTACAATTAAATATTTTAAATTTGATAACAATCTACAGCATTCCTGATTTACCTGAAAAATATTTTCCTGCATTAACAGATTTATTAGGTATAAACAGCATATTATTACGCAATATTATATATTTTTTTATAATGGAAGCATTTATTTTCTGTATTTAGTTTTCTCATCACATAACACATGTTTAAATAACACACTGAATTACATCGAAGATATTACATCGAAGCAAAGGTACTATTCATACTATTCACTATTCATACTTCAAGTATATTTTGGTTTTCCTTTCATGAGTACTGTTGCCATATACGTGAAATTATATTGATTCCCTAAAATAATATTTGAAGCAGATAACAAACACTCTATTTACCGCTTTTACCTCCTATGGAAGCATCCACATTTAAAATGTAATGTCTTGTTTGGCATGAGTTTATAAAAAAATGCAGTTTCATCAGCATTAAAAATAACTTTCGTTAGGTAAGTAGAGAAAAGCTCTGGGAGTTTTCTACCGAAATTAGTGCATACGTCTTCGTTTACATCAAATCTTTGGCCACATATAATAGTTTGATAAGAATTCCTTGACTTAAATCAAAAAAGCCATCATGACTGCAATTATCTTCAGTACGCATTCGACTTGCCAATTCAACAGTCTTCATCTGCAATAGTGATCCATTTATCGGAAAATTTTCAGATCTGGAGCTCTAGTCTGGACACCGTCGAGACGCAGGAACGGGTCGTTTTCCGCGATCTACCTTCCTGGAAGCGTATTTCCAAACCCTACCCAAAGAATCTGTAAGGAAAGAATCCTTACAGATTCTTTGGTAGTAGTCAAAAGTGGGGTAGGCGTCTTGCCAGGTGAAACTAGTCGATATTTCCGTGACGTCAAAAATTTGAAAAGTGGGGTAGGGTTTGGAAATACGCTTCCTGGAACTATAGCAGTAGAGCTTTTACTACATCTTGAGGCATATTTCTCATGCGTTTCCTTCCTCTAGCAAATTTAGATTCTCCGCATGAATCTAAAATTGATTCCTTATTTTTCAAATAAGTTGAAAAGGTATATTTTTAATTCCATAGTCAGCTGCTAATTTTGTTTTACATTCACTAGTCTCTACTTTCTTTAAAATTTCTACCTTAGTCTCCAAAGTTAGAATTTTGGACTTTCTATGGGTAGACATCCCGAATTTTTGCACGTTCACACCACACACTGAGGAAGAAAACCTGCAGCATATTAGCTTGTCTGCACTGCAAACCTAACTGACATAGCTCTCTAGAATTTGTTAAGGCTCCTATATACTTAGAGGCTCCTATATATATATTTAGAGCTCCTATATATATATTTACAGGAGCCTTAGAATTTGTAGTAGGGATGGTTTTTCTGAATTTCTAAGAAAATTGGTAACAAATAAACAAATGATTCTCCCCCTACCTCGACTCATTCAGAAAGGGTTCTGAATGAATCCAAGAAACAGGTTAGGCCGCGTATTTCCAAACCCTACCCCACTTTTCGAATT